ATGACATTGGTGGCTATTTGCGCTATATCGTGAGCTAACAGGAGTTGGAAATATGGAGCATTGGATTTTGACCCAGTGGCTCAATGGTAACGCGCTGGTCGCGGAACCTGAAGGTCGCGGGTTCGATCTCTGCTGGTGGGGTCGTGGGTGCGCACTGCTGAGGAGTCCCATACTAGGACGAGACAGCTGTCCAGTGCTCCCAGGTTTCCTTTGTTCCTCCAACTGATGTCAGTCTTCGATCAATAACAACTTGAAATCACAGATAACTTAGACAGTTTCATCAGAATTTAAAGCCTCGTCAATTTACTTGTCGAGAAGAAAACAAACCAATGAACAAACTAAAATGATTACATTGGCGTCTCAGCACTTCTTTTTTTGTATTTCTGATCAGCAAGTCAGGGTAACAAGCACTTCAGTTTATTAGGTTATATCAGAGTTCTATTTACCAGTCTTAAAATTTACGATAAACACTTGGTAAATTAACCCACTGCAGTTTCATTAAAGTTTAGGTTTTGAATATACTATAAAATAAGAACCGTGTCGAAGCTAACAATAGCAAACATCTCAGTATGACTTGTATTCCGAATAAGCATTATTATTCCAAGAACGTTCAAATCATTCAATGTAAACCATTAACCACATCTCACATCTCAGTTAACTAGAATTGAATCAGGTTAAGGCGTATTATAATACATAATAATGTAGTAATATCTGAAGTTGTTTCATTACCGAACAAGTAGAAAACCTCAAGAAAGTGTAAATGAAAATAAATGAGGAATCAATAATAATTTACATCGGTATAAAGCACTTATACCATGGAGTTTAGTTATTTCAAAGTGCATAAAATAGATATTCCTCTTCGAATCCTGTTATGCGAGAACACTTCTTCATAGTACTTGTCTAATAGTTATCTTTTAACCAACAAGAAACTATATAGGAGGATACAACTTCAAGGACACCTTTGATTTTAATTTCATATTAGATTTGTTCATTTGATTTATAACATACAGTGATAAAGTAATTATTATTTACTTGATGACGTTTCAAGCATAAATTATTTCTTATAATCATATCAATAGTACTGTATTACTGTGTCATAGATCAAATAAACAAATCTAATACGAAATTAAATTCTACCACAATGTCCAAGTTTTACACCTATATTAACCCTTGATTTTAGTGGTTTATTAAAATGTCAACTGGATGAAGAGGCAATTGCTTTTTCTGGATGCTACTTTTGCCTTTGCAAGCATTCCCGTAGCTGAGACCTGTCATATACATTTTTAAGATCTAATATAAGTTCAGCGGACATTACGGAAGCGTAATGTAGTATCTAAATCCCTCTTAATCCGATCCGTACTGATTGTTTCATGACGTGTCTCAAAAACTGTGTCCTATAATGATTATCCAGACAACTCAAGTTTTGCATGACGTAAACTGATTAGTTTTTCCGTAAAGCATGAAGAATTTGACCTAAACAAGTTTTTCAACACTCCAACGCTGTTTATTTATCTAAAAAATATACTGTCAGATAAGAATCAAATTTAGTCTTGCATTCTTGGGTATCCTACTGACAAAGACATTCGGTAGTCCCATCCAGAGAGCAGTTTACAGAAAGCCAACACATATCAGGCACTTACAAACCTACATCTTCCTCATTAGCAGGCAGAATCTAACACCTTTGTTTGAATAAGACATCTGGCCACCTTATTGTACAGCTTTTCTCTAACTTGTACCTTTTAGCAGGGGTATATTAGCTGTACAAACATTCCAGTTTGCAAATGTACTTCGAAACATTTTCTAGCAATAGCAGAAACAGAATACTAGCGTCTCTCCAACAGCCTTGTCAGCTGTAAATCTCTCAGTCGTTTCTTTCAAACAATTTGCAAAGACCTCAACAAACATTTCGCAGGATTCAGAAGAGGTCATTAGCAAGCTCAGACTCTAAACTTGATCTCTGTGACTAAAGAACATTAGGGTACTATCGTCAACCCTATAGTGGTCATAGTATTACTTTCTTTTGGTCCAGATTATGATACCTTTTTCCTGTTTCCATAATAGTTCTGACTTTTTCACTTTACTTTTCAGGCTTCTAAACTGACTGAATTTTGTTGCACCTACTGCATATTTCCTCCAATTTTCGTCTTCACCTTTTTTTCCCCTCCAGATTATTCTTATTATTGCATAACAGTTTTTTCTTATCAGACTACCGTTATCCAATTGTATTCAGTTAATTTTCAATGAATGTGGATATGTTCATTGTACTGTTTATGAAAAAATGATCACGAAAAACAAGATTTTCTTCACCTTCATATCTATACCCTATGGAATAATACGTCGATAGGGATTGGTTGAGACTTTGATAACGCAGTATTAAAGCGCCCTAATTAGACAATGAATATCCCATACCTTTTAGGGAAATAAAGATTTTCTAAATTTCACAACACATTGGACTAAAAAGTTCTGTCAAACTCGAAATTTGTCCATGGGACTTTATTCAAATTGTTTTGACTAGTTAGAAAAAAGCTGCATACATAGGCCAGGAACACCACTTGATCTACATCTCATTAGGCACTAAGGTAAGATGACTATCTAAAAAAGTGGACTTTGGATCACAAATACCAATGATAAGTATCCTGTCAAGTAACACAAATTACAGGGCAATCAATATTCTCAACACATCTTTAAGTATATGACGTGGTACGATTCATCGTATAAAGATTATTTTACTTGTGTACCCCCGCATAGTATATGATAACAAATTACGCGAAATATTTGTTTATTCTGTTATTTGTTATAATATACTACGCCATGATTACGTGGTGGCAGCGTAGAAAGTTCAGCAAAACAGTAAATCATCCCTTGTTCATTTTCCGACACGTATGTATATACGACCGTGATTTTCGCACACTCGCAAATTTCCTCAAGATATTCACAAGGGTTATCCATCTTATCCGTAATATCCATGGTGGGACTCTAACTTTATTACCTTTAGCGTTCCATAAACCACGAAGAGCTTTTGAAGAAATGCGTGCAGAAGCTTCATTCTCTAATTTATTTTCTTTTAGGCTGGTTTGATCCTGTTTGTCAAGTAAAGAAAGAGTTTCCTCTTCCATGTAGTCCAGAGCTTCTTGTGGTATAGTTAACTTGTTCTTGATAATGTTCCCCATACATGTTACGAGACTAATCACACCAATTGGGTACCCAAGTTTTTTCAAACTATCGAGTCCAATGCTGGTCAGAATACGAGCTGAATTCACTGCAACTTCGTCTGACTGAATGACATGAAATGAATTAAGATCTTGAAATGTTAAGGAGTATTTGTAGCTCAGGTGGATGGTCTTGGTCATATTGCGTTCTCTGAGCTGATTTGCTTAGGCGGACAGCTTTCATCGTCTTTCTAGACAACTTCATACTGAAATAAGTGCTGGAGATGTCGTCTAAGAAGATGATGAAAGCTTCACGTTTAGACAACTCAGCTCAGAGAACACAACACAATCAAAATTAACATCTGATCTGCAACTGAGTCTAGTAATTCAGTCGGTAAGCCGGATGTCACTCGTTTGAGTCCTGCTGCACCCCAGACATTCATTTCGCCTTCAATCACCCCTCAGTATGCATGTCTATTAGATGTAGAAAATTGGGAATTCAACTTGTTTTCATACTATTTTTACTAGTATTCAGTAGTTTCTTAATTAAGCTTACTACTCTTATAGATCATCATACTGAGATCGCTTTTAATTTCCCTCCAAACATACCACGATATTTTATCAAAATAGTCTTCAGTTAGCTATGCTGGACAGGTTTTTCTGCATACACTTAGAATTTGACTTTAAAAAGTAAATCCTGTATTAGCTGCTTATCTCCTCTGTTATTATTCTTTAGTATATATTTATAGAACCCAGTATTGAAATTAGTACTGTTTGGATATTTCAACAAAAAATAAGTGAATTTTTAATGATCAAATATTCATGAAGTAACTCGCTAACGAATAATACCATAGATTTATCAAGAAAATGTAAGAACAAAAGAAAATATCTAAGTTATTTGTTGACTCACTTGGTTTCTTTGCTGGTATTCTTGAGTATACTTCAGTTTTCATGATAGATAGACAATAAGTTGATCGCAGAGAGATTAAGTAATAGTTCCGAGTCAGCTTCAAATGTTGGGTAGTTTTCATTAATGTTGACTTACTACTTCGACCTTCACCAACTCTGAAATAATCTAGTGAACTGTCAATTCCACTCATTACTGACCTCAACTTAAAGCTATTGCTAGTAAATGTTGAATAGATTCCATGGTCACAATATTTAATTGCCAGAAGAACAAACGTTGCAGCCAGTCGCCACCCGAATACGTCAATGGTGACGTCTCTGACTGCAGCAGTGAGTAAGGCGGATTTGAAGCTCAGGAAGGACATTAGGTTGATCGAGGTAGCAGATACTCCCAAGTGATGAGTTCTAAAAAGCACGAAACCTATAGGTTCAGGGCTTCCTGCCGATTTTCACCATTCAGCTAACAGTCACTAAGTTCTAACACTCAAACTGTGCATAATTAGTTTCTGAAGCCTAACATAAACAGATATTCCATCATTTCATTGCAATCATCTAACACAGATGCAGTGCATTTCTTACTACCACAAGTCCTTTGTAATAAATAAATTATCTTCTAGAATTCATATGAAATTTGCAAATTTTGTGACAGTAGTTTTCACTGGAATTATAAGTTTATGTTTCATAGGACTACCAAATGAGATATCTTTCGGACAACTTGGAACTTTCATCTACTGCCAGTCATCTTAATACACATTTGTTAAGATTACACAAGAAAACACTATTCAATGTGATTGCTTATTGTAAAGTTTGATGGCATAAAATTCAATGCTTTTAGAATTAGGATATCCACTCCTTTTTCAACAAAATCTTTCCAAAAATTCATTTTTTCCTCAGTTCAAAGTAAATCTCAGTCAAAAGTGTAACGTTTTACACTCATAAACTTACTTCTGTCTTCGTATTTCAAAATTTCTCATAGTATAATTTGCTAATTCAATTGTTTCTAAATGAGTTATAATTATATCAGAGAAGATCAGTTTTCCACTGGTTGGCCAATATTGATCACATTGAATCTGACCTTCTTCAATAATTTTGCTCAACATTACAATAACACTTGTATTTTGTTCCCAAATCATTGACCAAAAGTCATCAAATGTATTGGTTAATGGAGCCTGTGGTAATGATAACGTAAAGACAAGTAGTTTTTACTATTATATCTCAATGTATGCAGAAGAAAACATCATCAAGAAAAAAATGATCATCAGGGTCATTTGGTAGGGGTAAGAATTGAAAAGAAGGTGGTGTATTTAGTACCATCTGGTAGCTTTTGGTTCAGTTGATCTTCAGCTAAGTTTCAAGTATTTGTAAATTTTTGAAAATGATCTTTGGTCAAATTTCAACTTCTGTAACAAATGTGTCATCAGTATCTAAAAAGAAATAAGTATTCAGAATTTATCTGCAAGTAGCGAATCCGTTTACCTAAATGGCACTGATAACGAATAATTACCTCTCGAAAAACTGTCATCACAATACAAATTAGCATTTCTATTAACTAGCCTCTCCTGGTTAACTAGTTCACTAGTTACTAGCTGGTCTTAAGCCCGGGTGAAGAGGGAAGGTTGGGTGTAGGGCTAGCAACTCTACCCCGTTAAACAAATCCAACCGCTAAAAAAACTTCAAAGCACAAAGTAAATATAAAACATAAAATTAAACTCATTCCTCGCTGGAATCAGCGAGGCGAAATGACGCAGGTTGGTGAAAGACTTCAGGAAGCCAATTTGCCGATGAGTCTTCTCCTTCTGGATGAAAGCGAAAGTAAGAATGGGGACATGGAATGTCCGCACCATGTTTGAACCCAGCAAGGATGCCCAGATTGCAAACGTGATGAGAAGGAATCGCATTGAAGTGTTAGGAATTTGCAGGAGCAGGTGGAATGGGAGTGGACTCTCTAAACTATGTAAACTGGAGAGTCAGTGATATAATCTACTCCGATATTGTCACCCAAATGACAACCACGAGCACACTGAGTTTTGTAGTGGGTATCATGATGTCCCCAACAGCGTCGAAGACTCTCTCTCATGCACTGGGAACCAATCTCCTCCAGTATCAGGTTCATGACAACATGATTCAACTCAAAAGGAGGAAAGTCACAATCATACAATGCTACGCTACACTACGCGACTACAAATAATTCAGATCAAGAGAAGAGGAGAATTCTACATACAACTGCAATCATCAATGGACAAGACCCAACCCAGATGGAGACATCAAAATTCATTCTAATGGGTGGGGTGACATGAATGGCAAACTGGGAGCAGACAACACAGGAGGAGAACTAACTATGGGTCGAGAAGCACTCGGTGAGGTGATGAACGAGAATGTAGAATTGTTTGCAGAATTCTGTGCATTCAACGACTTGGTGATTGGAGTGAGGCACTGTGTTCAAGCACAAGGATATCCACAAAGTGACTTGGACATACAACACTAAAAATCAGATCGACTTCATCTCAATCTCAAGAAAGTGGAGACGCAGCCTACTGGGAGCAAGGTCAAGAAGAGGAGGATGTGTAGGCTCAGACCACTATTTAGTGTAAGGAACCTTCCAAATCAAGCTGAAAGCCTTCTAGAAAGTTGGTGATAGACCAGATTTCAAGTTCAACACCCAGAACAGACACTGATCTGAAGGACAAAACTACAAAGGACATCTTCACAACAGTCAGCCATCAGGAAAATGGGAGGTATTGAGGAACATCCCTGAAGAAACCTGTGTGGAAGAACACTGGAAGTCTTTGAAAGCTATGTGGAAAGAAACCTGCATGGATCTCGACGGACACATGGAAGCTGATAGAGGAGAGGAGGATGGTGAAGCAGAAGATAAACCAGTGCAAGGATGAACGACGAGAAGAGAAACTGAGTACAACGTGTAAAACACTAGACTGGACAAAGAAGTAAAGAAGAGTGCGCGGAAAGACAAAAGACACCTCTACTACACACTGACAAGTGAAGCAGCACAGGCTGCAGGTAGAAGAGACAGAGACCTGACGACACTATATCAAACATTCAAATTACTACCGAGAAAGAGATCAACTCAGATGACATCAATGAAAGATACTGAAGGGAACCTGGTTAGCAAAGAGGAAAAATAAAGGAAACAATGGGCTGACCACTTCAAAAAACTCTTGCATCGACTGCCACCACCTGCACTTCGTCCAGAAAGACCACCTGCAGCCCAGTCACAGAACCACGAGTGAACATAATTCCTCCAACAAAATTCGAAGTCCTAAGCGCCATAAACCTACTAAAATGGGGGAAAACAGTGGGACCAGATGGAAGTCCTCCAGAAGCACTGAAAACAGACGCAGTTACAACAGAGGATATGCTCACACCACTAATGCAGATGGTTTGGAAGGAAGGGAAAGTACCTGCAGATTGAAAGAGGGAATACGTTGTCAAACTTCCTAAGAAGGGAGACCTCATTCTTTGCAAGAAGTGGCGCGGAATCATGCTGCTGTCCACCTACACCAAGCAAAATATTAAGCCACGTCATCCTGGAGAGATTAAAAGATGCACTGGATTCAAAACTACGACCAGAACAGGCTGGCTTCAGGAAGAACAAATCGTGTGTGGATCAAACTGCAACCCGTCGCCACGCATCATCAAAGAATGACAGTCAACTCTCTACCTCAACTTCATAGATTTTGAAAAGGCCTTCGACAGCGTCGACAGCGCCGAGAAGTAATTTGGCAGGCAGCCGCTTCAACACTACGGAATACCACAAATCTTTATCAATATCGTTCAACAGCTGTGTGACGATGCCACATGCTGAGTGGTTCACAGTAAGAAGCTCAGTGACGCTTTTGAAATGAAGATAGGAGTAAAACAAGGTGGCCAACATCACCCATGATATTCCTGATTCTAGTGGACTGGATCATGTGACAAACAATGGTAGCGAGAAGAGGGTGATACTCTGGACCACGGCGAAGAACCTAGAAGATTTAGATTTCGCCGACGACTTATGTCTAATATCACACAAACTTGAAGATCTACAGGCGAAAACTAACAAGTTGACAGAGGTGGCGAGGCAATGCAGCGAAGACGGGTCTTCAACTAAACGTAGAGAAGATAGAGGTGATTAAGAGACCCAGCCAACAACAACAAACTCCAGTCACCATCAACTGGAGTAACTTGAAAGAAGTAGTCTCTTTCACCTATCCAGACAGCACTGTTTCAATTACAGGTGGCGGCACGGACGAGTATGTCAAAGTCAGGATCAGAAAGACAGCAAGACAGGCGTCCATTTGCCTGAAACCAGCGTGAAACTCTTCTGCACTCAGCATAAAGCGTGAACAACATCCGGATTTTCAACACCAATTCAGTCAAGTCAATTCTTCTGTATGGCTCAGAGACTCAGCGCGTTACAGAAGGCATTTCCAACAAACTACAGACATTCATCAACAACTGTCTACGCTGATGGGAGATGGATTGGGCATACACTGAGAAGGCCGACTGGGGACATCACGTGTCAGGCCAGTCTGTCGAGTGGAACCCTGATGGGAAGCGAAGAGTAGGGCGTCCGAGGTGAGGATGAGATGGAGGAGATCGTGTGAGGAGGAAATGAGAGCTTGCGGGCTGTCGTGGAGCCAGGTTCAAAAGATTGCAGAGAACAGAGTGGAATGAAGACGTGCTACTGAAGCCCTATGTTCCACTAGGAACCAAGGGACAAATACTAACAAATAATAAACATTGCCCAAGTTTTACACTTATAATAACAAAGTTGGTAACATTAGGAAAAAATAAGTGACTTTGACCGATTGTTTTTAGACCATATGTCAGAAATTTAAAATTAATAAGCCAAGATCTCGTGTATAATTTCCACTTCTAAAGTGTCGTCAATTCCAACAAGCTGTTTAATGATATGACTGCGTATAACTAAACTTCATGTCGATTAAAGTTTAGCGGGATTTCTGCATATTATTTTTTCAGCATTCACATTTTTCTTATTTCAAAGATGTGAGAATTACGGAAAAGATCTATTAGTTTATTCGTTTAGCAACCTAGTGTTAATCAATAAACGTGTCAAATACTTTTAAAATGTAACCAAATATTTATGAAATTTGCCTAATGACAAGAAGCTAAGTAAATCAAAACAAATAGTTTTCATTAGAACAAAACAAATTGTAGCTGGAAATGTGACTTCTGTCTTTTCTTGTTCTTCTTATCTTTAGACTATATGCCGAGAATCTGATAATTTTTTCAGACTTTTTAATAGTGACTACTGGAGATACTGAGATACATAATTTCAAGTTTATTAATATCTACCGACTGAAGTAGATGTATAGTACTGTATTCCGATACAAATCACTACTATACGCCAGATATTAAGGTTTAATTTATGACTTATACAACGGTTGCCATCTAATGCATAGCATTACGACAAAACACCAAGCGTTCTTCCTGTTCATCCCGGTGGCCTTTGCTGATTTTCAGGTTGAATGAGCACTGTGCATCAAAGTTTCATCTTGTTTATCTTAAATCACTAATTCACTGTCTAAGACAGTCATTTAATTTCATCCACAAATGTTGGATTAGGAACAAAAGTAATGGTAAGCGAAGAAACTGTCAAAGTACTGTTGCACAGTGATTCGTATATGGGCAGAGTTTGAGTACTGTTTTCAGTATTATTCCATTTAAGTTTTTTTTACTTGCATCACAGATTCTGCTTTAAGCGTAATTTATCTTCAATATTAGGGTATGAATATCAGGAGTAATTTATGACCATGGAGTGTATTTGTAGCTCAGGTGGATTATCAGTGTTGTGTGACTTTCTCTGAGCTGAGCGGTTGGTTCGATTAAACCGTTTGCACCAACGGATGTACAAGGAATAATTTGTACTAAAACGGCTGTCTGCTGTTTCACATTTTATTAATTCAAACACGCTCAAGGACCTACTGAGAACAGTCTAGCGTATAGCCTTATGGTTCACTACGCAAACGTAATCAATAACAAGGGTAAGATATTATTGAGTACTTGCAGAGTCACGAAGAAAGAGTGAACGGTGAATTCGGGTACGTCTTTATGCCGTATACGTGATTCATATCCCTCAGAATGTCCAATTTACGATTCTACTATTCCTACTGGCTATTTTTTTCAGCTTTTAGAAGACTAGAAAATA